GGTTCGTTGTCCAATCAGAACACCCATGTTGATAAAACAGTTGTATTATTTGCAATATTTGTCCATGGTGATTTGGCAAAATAGACTAAGTAAATGACAACTAATTTGACAAGTTCGAACATCTCTGTTGGTAGGCCCAATAGAAGCTATTTCCCCAGCATGGTTCGACGGCATACTGCAAAACTCTTCTCCAAATTTCACTGCCGATTTTTTTCTCAAACATTATACGAAGGAAAAGCTCACTATAAACGTGCGATTTGAACTACACTGTGGTCGCTCTTTGAAAATTTATAAGTTACAGGCCAAAACATAGTATCTGCAATTTTTCGTGCGCTTTATCTGTGAATTTGTTCTATAGCAAAATATTACGGAAACAATGAAGTATTTACTAATTTAATTTGGCGATGCTCATTAAAATTATATATTCTTGACCTTGACCTCACATGTGTACTTTATAGACACGTGAAGAATAAATGAGGTAGTTTCTGTCAGGGTTTCAGCCGGGCACAATTTTATCATCATTATTCAATCAAGGTCAAGCACTGCGACACATAAATCACAATTGGCGAATTAAAAAAAGTTCGTGCATATAACTACGTGGTCGGGACGAGCCTCCAAATGAAAATGATCAAATAAACGTTTCCTCTGTTAGGGTCATGAATCATTCTCGTCATTTTGAGTACTTACGACCTATAGACATTTCACGTTGTTCAAAACTGTTCGAATATTCGTATCAAAGAGGTCTGTTCCAAAGCAAAGGAAGAAACTTCAGGTGAGGGATTGTAAAAATTGTAGAAAGTTTCGAAGAACCTCTTATTGAGAACTTATAGTGTTTTTGCACGTTTTTCGAAGTATTATTTTTTTAACCAAAGAGGTTATGCCGGTCCGAACGTGTCCTCGATATATTCGCAGAGCGCGACGTCATCATTAACAAATGACGCATACCATAAGGTATGAGCTCATTTGTTTCGAGAACCATGTACTCTGAGTAATTATAATAGGCCGAGCATTTTTCCGACCAAGATTTATGTCCTATTGCGGCAAGTCGATATGAACTTGAGATTCGAGAATAGGAAAGGCATCATTTCATCGAGGATTTATGGTAGAATGTTGAATATGTGGTCAATATCTCTGCGAACTATTGGATTTTTTTGTCATGTTGATGTCATGTCATCGTATTTTATAAAAAGTGGAAATGGCTTGGATGTGAAGTTTTTACTCACTGCCAGGACGAAAGGCCGTAAGGAACTAACATCTCTGTATGTTTCTTTAGATCAGGACATGTCTTAAGTCAGAGTCTATTGATCTCTTCAACTTTTTGCCCTATGCATATATCTGAAATTATCTCGCCTAATGAGATAATTGGAGAAGCAATCGAAGTTCATCACAGATTTCAGAATTGTAATATTAAATATCGCGTGATCGTATTATGTTAGTTTGGAAGAATCCTTCGTACATATCTTATGTAAAAGATGGACAATTGTCAAAAAACGAGCTAGAGTGTTTTTAAAGCCTCATCAAATCACCATGTCTCGTTGGGTACGAATGAATTTCGAAAGTTTAGTGGTCATCGTGTGAATATTTCTTGAAAAATAGTATGGCACTTGTAGATGTATATACAGTGTGCAAAAGCCAAATGGAGTAAATTCTTTATTTCGCTTACTGTACATATTTAAAAAAAAATCCGAAACACGTCAAATGTAAATTATAATTTGACATTCTTCAACGTAAAAATGCCACCACTACCTTCAACCCATTTTTTTAAATGGGAAGTAAAGGTTTGTGATATATCGTTTGAAAGGACTTTATTCGAAAATGTTATCGCTTTCAACTTTATTGTAACAATTAAGACAAAATAAATTAACATCATGTGGTTACCGAAATTCGAGAAAATACACTCAAAAACTAAAATGTAGAATACGATAAAGAACTATGGATGGTAACGAAGTAGATGTTCAAACGCGAACGTCTTGACAACATCCTAATCTCAAATAAAACTGTCTTCTAACATTATTTAACATATCAGGCGTGACCGACCTAATCGCAAGCGTTATTAGTTTTTTTTAAGTAATTCAAATTTGAAGGTTTAGTTTTGCACACATTGCTCTTTACATATCCCCATAAAAGTCTAATGATGAAAGATCAGGTGATCGAGCTGGCTATTCAATCGATTTTCGCCTCCCTATCCACCGATTGGGTATCAAGGTATTGCCGGACATAACCTGATAATGTGGTGGTGCTCCATCCTGCTGAAACCATATCGTATTCACTGGAACTTGAGGGTTTCCTGGATAAGGATATAAATTTGCTAAACTTGGAATTACGTCATTTTGAAATAGTGCCAAAAAATTATCGCCATTCAAGTTGCCCTCAATGAAGAAGTTACTTACAATCCCTGCCCAAATAATAACTTTTTAAGGTTATTGCGTGTATTTTTCTCTCATCCAGTGAGGATTTTGCGTTGAACAGTAGCGGCAATTTTGCCGATTAGCATGATCGTTAAGAGTTAAGGAAAATAACGTCTTCTAATTGTATGATATTTTTATCCAACATGTCCGTCATTTGCTCGCAAAAATAAGGTCTGTCAAAATCGTCTTCCATGAACTTCTGAGTAGGTTTTATTTTATAGGGATGCATTTAATTTTCTTCTAATATGTTTACTATCGATGTATGGCTACCATTGAATGTAGTGGATGTCTGTCTACTCGATGTATATGGGTTTTCCTCAAACTCAAGCATCACATCTAATTTGAGTTCATAAGTTGAGTTATGCATTTCCGTTAATCTAACCATTTGTCAGACTTGAAGTTAACGAACTTTAAACTTGAATTGAAATACTGACAACTAATGTTGTAACATACAAAACAAGTTGACAAGGTGTTTTGAACTAACGTTACCACGGAAATTATCTACAGTTTTTTGAGGGATACCATCTAAAAAGAACATTGCTATGGTTTTTGCTTACTTTTTTATTATCAATTCCTCATCATGAAATAAGATTTGAGTATATTGCAATAAATTTTGACTGTATTTTATCGAATTTCGGTAACCACATACTTTTAATTTCATAAACTACACCTCACTATTTGATCTCCACAAACTTTATTCGAAAAATTTAGTGCCAAAAAATTATCGCCATTCAAGTTGCCCTCAATGAAGAAGTTACTTACAATCCCTGCCCAAATAATAACTTTTTAAGGTTATTGCGTGTGTTCTTCTATCATCCAGTGAGGATTTTCCGTTGAACAGTAGCGGCAATTTTGCCGATTAGCATGATCGTTTAGAGTTAAGGAAAATAACGTCTTCTAATTGTATGATATTGTTATCCAACATGTCCGTCATTTGCTCGCAAAAATAAGTTCTATCAAAATCGTCTTCTGAGCTTCTGAGTAGATATTATTTTATAGGGATGCATTTAATTGTCTTCTATAATGTTTACTATCGATGTATGGCTAACATTGAATGTAGTGGATGTCTGTCTACTCGATGTATGTGGGTTTTCCTCAAACTCAAGCATCACATCTAATTTGAGTTCATAAGTTGAGTTATGCATTTCCGTTAATCTGACCATTTGTCAGACTTGAAGTTAACGAACTTTAAACTTGAATTGAAATACTGACAACTAATGTTGTAACATACAAAACAAGTTGACAAGGCGTTTTGAACTAACGTTACCACGGAAATTATTTACAGTTTTTTGAAGGATACCATCTAAAAAGAACATTGCTATGGTTTTTGCTTACTTTTTTATTATCAATTCCTCATCATGAAATAAGATTTGAGTATATTGCGATAAAGTTTGAGTGTATTTTATCGAATTTCGGTAACCACATAATTTTAAACACATGATTTTTGTTTATTTCATCTTAATTGTTGCAATAAACTTGAAAGCGATTACATTTTTGAATAGAGAATGAAGAGACATTTCAAACGATATATCACAAGTCTATACTTCCCATTTAAAAAGTTGGGAGTTGTACTGTCATTCGACGGGGGTTGAAGGTAGGGGTAGCATTTTCCCGTTGAAGTATGTCAAATTATAATTTGAATTTGACGTATTTCGGGATTTTGTTAAAATATGTACCGTAACCGAAATAATGAATTTATTCCATTTGGCTTTTATACATTGTATACATGAGCCACACATAATTCCGTTCTCAATAAAATATTTTTTGAAAGACTCTCGCTAATTTAATTGGAATATCAGGTGCATTACCCTTTTCTGGGACATTCATTTTATGAAGCTTGGAAGAGCAACCCCACACACCGACATTATAGGAGACAGTATATAAGGGCAAAATGAACATTTAGGAGCTATTTTCTGTTTATACAGATATTGTCCAATAGTGTAGTACTCCGAAATACCCTTTTTGTGCTATATATGCACGTACCAAGAAATTTGATATTATCTGACAAGTGGGCTAATTTTTTCTGTCATTCTATAGTAAAATTGCATCAGCACTGTTTTGCTTGAATTCACCACTAGTGCATTTTTTCTGCACCAGGTTGTTAATTCAAACGACGATACGTTGAGTTTAAGTTCCTCAGAGCTATCAGCATCAATTGCTAAAGTTGTATCATCCTCATATAAGACAATACAATTTGTGCTTATATAATTCGGCATATCATTAATATGTATAGTAAAAAGATAAGAGGTCCCAAAATAGAGCCTTGAGGTCCATGCCATACGGTTGAGAGTACCAATTATCAATTTTAACATGTATTTTTCATAGAGTCAAGTACGACCCGAGCCACAGTAGAAAGATATAATTATTATTTCTAATTATCAGTTTTTATAGTGTTGCAATCGTTGTTAATCATATATAAATGCCGGTGTAGGAGTTGAAAATTTGTTGATGAATTATATCAGAACATGTAAAGTCGTCATTTTTGAATGTGATCTTGGCAATTGGTACTCGTCAGTCATCGCCACCGATTACCCAGCTTCGATACAGATAACAAATTTGAATAAAAAACGCGATTTCCAGACAGGCAACCGTCTTTCGGTTTTCAGTCCTTGTCGGTATCGGTCGTAGGTGTAGAGGCTCGGAGTTTCCCCACTCCGTACTTCCTAGATCTCGTCGATCATGAACCGGTCGGCGTCGGTTATCTAGTTAAGTTATCCTTATCATTAACTCGGTAACGTTACATTGTTATTCCACGTCTAACTGTGATAGCTCGAAGTTCAGTCGGCAGCTATATTAGCAGCGTTCAGTAGTCGTGACTCATTCATCTCTAGGAACAGCTGACTGTGTCGGGTGCAAAGTCGCGGCAGACCGGCCGAAAGTTTTCGAGCGCCAAGTGGAAACTGTGATACTAGTAATTCGATTTGATTTTTTTTACTACGACCGGATAAATCGTCATATCTGCAAAAATGTCTTTCGAAGAATCTCCGGGTAGCCTTCCGGATGTTTTGGATGATTTCGTTTACATTTTCAAGGAACTGATGAAGGTAGGTTGCGTGAAGTGTTTGTTATATAAATTTATGTCACCGTTGTTGAGTTAAAAGCACGTGGTATTTCGATAATTCTAGAAAATGTTTTTGCATTACTATCTTTTGATAAAGAATTCTGTTTTGATGACGAGTGTTACTGCACTTTCTAATTCGTGCGTTTTTGTTCATTTCAAATGCAGATGACATTAACACAGAGAAAATATAGAAATAGTTTCATTTTACACGACTCAGGACTTTCTGCCAAAGAACCGATTTTGACAAATATTGAATAACATCTTCAGGATACCCCTTTCAATTTAATCTTCGGGAAATTTCATGAAAAACAAACGTATTTTTGTGTTTTTCATATCCGTTGAAAATGTAAGCCTATGATCAAAAGCGAATATGAATCCTTGGTAGACCAAGTGGTTGAAAAATGGTGCTAAATATTAAAAGCCACTGTGCCACTGATTTCAGGCAGGTAGTTCGAAACAGTAAGCACCTACGTAGTAGGCCTATTCTTGTTGTTCCAACTGTTTCAATTTAGAGACTAGTCACCCAATTGCGAATGTACTATGCTACTGAACAACGGGTCTCTTAGGTCCACAACATCTGAAACGATACCATAACAAACCTATTGAAATCCAGAGTTGACCTAAGCTAACTAAGTCTGCTTAGCTTGGCTAAGTCTGCAAACCGATTGCTATGTTATTTAATTAGACAATCATTTAATTTTAACAATGTATATTCCCTTGAAATTTTGTATTATAGTTTAGTGATGCCGAAACTAGAATTTTTTGCAATAACTTGGCATGGAGAATACCAGACTACATTATTCTTGCTACAAAAAATTCAAAACAAATTTCTAAGATACCTATATTATAAAAAAGCATCATGTATATCCCGATTATAATGTACCTAGTTAGAACTACCCATCTTAGACATGAATTCAAAATTCTATCTTTGGGAAAATCGAACAGTTCTTAACATTTTGACGTTTTTGTTTAAAATTTTTAATAATAAAACTAATTCACCAACGTTACTTTCTTTACTGCGACTTAATGTGCCTCCAAGGAGAATGCGCTCTTCTGTTATATTTAATATCCCTGTTTTACATAGAAATACTAGAGTTCCTCTTACACTCATGTATCGACTAGCAAATTATTATAAAACACTCATTGATTTGGATTGGTCAATAGCTCAAAATATGTTCAGAAACATTATAATCAAATTTTTCAATTCTGACAACGCGACGGAGGCATATTTTGGCCTTCGAAACGTTTAGTATCTATAAAATTGTTTGCTCTTTCTTGATGAGTAAAAGTGTCAAATGAAATTTACTCGAAAACTGAACAGTTTAATAACGGAAATATAATTCCAGAAAAAACAAATAACTATATTCAATAAACTTTTCATTTGTAAATACGTGGCAAAAAATATAAACTGAACGAATTCGTATTGAAAAATTTGAATTTATACGATAATTGAAAGATTATCTTGAACTTGGAAAACGAAAATTATTCAATACTTAACCATTGTCACGTAAAGATAAACCTTTCTGAATATTTGAATTTAATTATTAAAGGATGAATTTGTATGAAATTCTGAAGTTCGAAAAATACCCAAGAATTAAGGGTTTTGAGGTATTGGACGGTTCTGAGCTGTCTAAATTCATTATTTTATTGGTATTCCTACATTGGCCGGTGACGAAATAACCGTTATTGAAAGATTTCTCAAAAATTTTAGTACTGAAACTATATAATAGTAATTGTTTGTGGACATTTCAACAACTTACCCTAGTTTATTTTTGTTAAAAATAATAAATGATATGATTTTTCGCTTTGAAGTTGTTGAATCTGATAAACGAGTACATATGATATATTTTTTCGATCAAAAGTAAACTTTGAAAAACTATTGTGGTCGTTCAAAGAATTGAACAATTTTCATTCGATCGCTTAACTATTTTGGTATTCTTCGAAATCTAGGCACCGATAACAAGATTTTGCGATGATTCAAGTCAAAGACGATGTATGTAAAATCATTTATTGAAATTATGCCTAGCCAATCCTTAGTATTATTGAAAATTTGAGACTTTTGAGTACATTGCACAAAAAACTTATTCCCGAAAAAGTGAACATACCTATGTGAACTGATTCACAAAAATGTGAAATTAAAAAAAAGTTACCCGAGTTTTTCCCGGTCAGAGTCTGCATTTTATTGTTTTCGAGATTTGCCATCAGAAAGGCATATTTTCCATTCTTCTGTTTTCTTGGCCAGGCCAAGATGATTTTACATTCAGGCCGGATTACTGTAATACAGATTTTCCAAGTACTTTCTAAGAATTTACCATCGACTTAGGTCTTAATACCTAAAGGTACTTTCATATGCCTAGGCAAGATCCCATTATCAGTTTGAAAATTCCGTGTTTCCTAAAGAGTAATTCTTTGTTCAAAATTCCAAATTAATTACCTGATACCTATATGTAAACTGCGTCCTATGAAAATAATCCAAGTTTTTTACTTATACAGTTTGTCCACAAAGTATGGAATAACTTCGATATTTCCAAAATCAATGGTCGTTTTACAAAAACCTGAAATACGTCGATTTTTAATTTTAATATTCTACATTTTACGAAAAAAATTCATTATACAGGGTAATCCATATTAATGTGTTGACGTCATCTGTAATTTTTAAAATGCAACACCCTGTATTTGGTGTGAGTTATAGATAATCCGTAATGAGCTGATTCCGAAAAGGTATGATACTTGGGGGCTAACGGACAGAATTTGAAAGATGTTCGCTTAGAAAATAAATTTAATTGATATATAATAAAAGTAGAAATTAATTATTTTATATTTTTTTCTAATGATTAATTTAACAATATGAAAGTAATCCAGTGATAAATACATGA